GAAATTAACATTGACACAATGTGTGTATAATTCTGTGCCATTTTACCATGTGTGTGGGTTTGTGTGACCACCACAAGTCATGAGACAGAAATATCCCTTTAGGGCTGGGGATTTAGCTCAGTGGTTCCCCCTCCTGCTTCTCAAGTGTGAGGTCCTGAGTTCGAGTTCCATCTCTGGTATTAAAAAAAAAAAACCCAAACAAACAGAAAAAGAGAAATATCCCTTTACCCCAGGCCTCTTTCCTGCTCCTCTTTTGAAATGGTATCCTATATCCCACATTCTATCCTGCTAACCCCTGGCAACTACTAACCTGCTCATTTCTCCAGTTTTATAATTTTGAGAATGTTAAATAAATGGAAGTATGCAATATGGGACTTTTGAAAACTGGCCTTCTTTCTGCCCTTAGCATAATGTTCTTGAGAACCATTTAAACTGTGGTGTACTTAAGCTGTGTGTTCCTTTGTATTACTGTACATAATTCTATTGCATGGATTTATCATTGTTCATCCAATCCCCTTTTTAAAAACATTTTGAGTTTTGTTTTCAGGTTTGGGCTATTACAAATAACCATTCATGTAATTCATGCGCTCCTGTGTGAGGATGTAACTTTTCGCTTATCTACTTGTCTTTTACAGCCTTCTAGTGCTTCTAATGAAAATCAGAGCTAAGAACTGTTGGACTAGGGGGTGTGAAAAATGTCTAAACATTAATCAAGTCCTCTGTTTGACAGAGTGCTATGTGGCAGGGCAGGTATCAGAGTGCCCTGGAGCACAGGTGCTGGAGTCTGACATCTGGGCCCAAATCCTGGTTGTACCCCTTGGTGGCTCAGTAAACCATCTATAAACTGGGGTGGTAACACCAACCTCAGGGCACTGTGGCCATGCTATGGCAATAAACATGAAGAGGCTCACAACATAGCTTATTATTACTTAGGACACTGGAACTGCCTCTTGTTGCACCTGCCTGCATTCGTGTGTATATTCGGGGCTCCTAAGAGGCAGGACCTGTGTGTCTTCTCCCCATGGTGTCTTTGGTACCTAGCATGCTCCTTGTTAAATGTGAAGGAGCCAGGGTCCTGCTAATGAGGGTGGCAGGAAAGGATTTAGTGCCTGGTTAGTCCCCTGTGAAGGAAGGAAAGTCGCTGTCTGCTGCTTATTCAGGGTGGTCGAGGTTAAGGAAGGTTCTGCAGAAGGCACAGTCACTGCTTTGTCCCTGCTGGGAGTCTCCAGGGCCATCTCACTCACACAGTGAGTGCTCAGAGTTAAACGCACGGCAGGCAGGAGCACATGAACCAGGGCAGCAATATGGGCATCAGGGACTCCGTCAGAGCGGAACAAGGCTGGACTTAGAAGAGGCAAGTTCAAGCTGTGTGTGGTAGAGGAAATCAAATAACTTCACAGCTCCCGTGATTATGTATTTGTAAATTTTGGAAAATGTTAACTTAGGCAGATTCTGGCATCAGGCTGCCTAAATGTGAGTCTCAGCTCCCTCACTTGATATTTGGTGACTTTAGACCCTTAACTCTCTGTGCCTCATTTACTCATCTATAAAATGGGAACAGCAACAACTCCCTAGATCATGAAGATAAAGGGTTTAGAATGATGCACAGAATTTAAATTTTTAAAATAATCACACAAATAAACACGATGAGAATAAAGGATTGCTTTGAGAATCAAATGGAAGGAATGCATAGCCATATTGCTTATGTATGATTCTGGTGAGGCTTAGCAAAGAAGATTTTGCTTACTATTTTAGTCTACATTTTAAATTCCACACTCAGATAAATATCCGGGAAAACGGTGCAGCTGAAGCAGGGAGCAGCGGGAGGCCGTGTAACCAATCCTTTCAGGAGGGACCAGAAGTTGTCACCATCTGATGTCTGCCTTGTGGCTGCATGAAAGGACGTTGGGGGTAGAAGTCCGGTTTCGAGTGGACAGGTGTTAGAGACCCAGAGCCATCCTTGCAGTTGGCACCCTTGGTGCGGTCTCCGCAGACAGGCGAGGATTAAGTCGAGAGGAGATCAAATTGTTCTTCCACCTGGCGTGGTGGTCCCAGCAGGACAGGGCTGAGGGCTCAGTGACAGCAACTGGGCAACCAGAGTGAAAACCTTCACTCTTTTTGCTCATGCTCTGTTTTGCAGAGAAATCTCAAGTTCTGGTCCCCAGAACAGTCAATCCAACAACTTTCCTAGAAACAGTCGCGTTCACACTAAACTTCCATCTGGCCACAACTGTTTCAAAGAGTCAGATGCATCACTTTCATTATCAGAAGAATAATGTAATTAATGCAAAGCTTTAGGCCCTGAATTCTCCTGTCAGAAGTGGAAAAAAAATAAATCAGTGCCACAAACATTACCTTTTCTTCAGAAGCTTTCTGAAGAAAAGAGAATACCAGGAAGGAGTTTTGAAGTATTTTATTCTTGTTTTCTATTAGTTCAATTTTGAAATTGATTTTTATGAATATATAGAGATTTTTCAGAACTCAAGTAAAATGTACAGGCAAAAGCAGGAACACAATAAGAAAACATCTCCCTCTGACATTGAAATATAAGTATTTATGAAATGATTGAATCTTTGGAAGTCTCTCACCTACCCTAAGAAATGATGTGCCAGTGTGACTCACAAGAACACCACAGGTTGGGCAGTACTGTAATGAGTGCTGTTCTGTTGTTCCGGGACAATGTCATAAGGACAGAGGTGGAATACTGGAAAGAGTTTTGGAGAAGGAAGCCTTGCTTAGTCATGAAATAAAATGCTCAGGGGGCCAGAGCCTGCAGTCCTGCCCTCCAGGAAAAAAACCCGTGGACCGAGGGCAGCTTACTTGGGCTGGCATCCTAACTGCACTCCAGCTCCCCTCGGACGGTCCCCTTGGACCGCCGGCCCCCATTGGACACTGCCCAGTCAGCGTTTGGGACTTGGGACTCAGCACTACTAAGAGAAGCCTGTGTGGCTGTAACTCGGGGTCCTCAGCCAGTACTCTGAGGACTGTCCCTCCGTGGCTCTGGCTCATTGACTTCATCCTCCCAGGCGTCTGAACCTGGAGTGTCCTTAGATTTTCCCTTTCTGTTTACCGATCCATCTTCTGGAAGATTAGGAAGAGAGCAGTTTCAATTTGCCTAAAGATGCAGGAAGTTCAGCAGGAGGGTCTGCGAAGAGTGGGGGATCGGGAAGGATTTGGGGCCCTCCCATCCCCGCCACCCCTAGAAGAGCTTAGCTGTACCTCAAAGGCTTTACAGAGACTTCATGGTAAGAATAAGTTCTTGACTTAAAACATTCTGATTATATTTATCAGGTTTCCCAAGCCAGAACACCAGTTGATACATTGATTAAATGGAGCCTTAGCTTTGCAGGGCCAAAGCTGTGTCCTTGGCATGTGGTGGTGGTGACCCCATAAAATTGCAGACTCTGATGTATGGCTTCTCTCTCCCGTCAAGCCACTTCCCAGTCTTATGCAGCTGCTTTTTTCTGTATTTATTGAAAACTCAAATGAAGGGCCGGGGATTTAGCTCTGTGGTTCCGTTGCCAGCCTCGCAAGCACAAGGTCCCAAATTCCATCCCTGATACCAAAAAAAAAAGCCCCCCCCCAAAGCCCCCCAAAAACAAAGAAAATTCAAATGAAAGCAGAAAAGCAAATTTCAATCTACAAATCTATCATCTCACCCTGCTAGCACCACCTCCCCAATCATTTTTATGTGTTACTTTCCACATTTATATTAAAATCATAATATACATTATATATTTTTCCAATATTTTAATTTTACCTTAAATATTCTATCGTATTTTTACATAATTAACAAAATTTAATTTCTAATAGTGGCACAATAATTTATGATAGTGACTTGCCAACATATATTTAGTATCTAATAATGTTGTTTATAAGGCCTTTCCTGTGCATGAATGGTAAGAGTCCCTCCTGGAAACTTCGTTTTTGGTACCAGAGATTGAACTCAAGTCCTTGCACTTGCGAGGCAGGAGGATTGCTAAGAGTTCAGGGTCAGCCTGAACTACAAAGTGAGACCCTGTCTCAAAACAAAAACAAACAAACAAAAACCAAGATAAGATAATATTTAAAAGATTATATAGAAAGATGTTCTGCATTCAAGAATGAGTCAAATTATAATTTTTGATTTCTTCAAATACAAATAATATATATCTATTGAAGGGAAAGGAGCCAGCTGGCTGCTTCCTTCTCTTAAATATTTCTTTCTTAATAACTACTAAATGTCCAATGCAGAAAGATATCGCCAACCTTCTAATGTAAGTCCTTCTGATATTTCTTATGGCTACATAGATTGAAAACTGAAAATAGTATTGATAGTGTTTTTAGGAGTTTACATAAAGCCTGGGGGTGTAGATCAGTGGCTTTGCATGTTTGAGGCCATAGGTTTGACCTAAAGCACTGAAAACAACAACAAAAAAGTAGACAATAAAAATGTACAAATGTACTTTTTAATAGACAGGCTTCTTTTGGGCCAGGGATTTAGCTCAGTGGTTCTGCCACCTGCCTCCCAAGCACAAGGTCCTGAGTTCAATCACCAATACCAAATAAAAATAAAATAAGCCGGGCGTGATGACACATGCCTGTAATCCTAGCACTCAGGAGGCTGAGGCAGGAGGACTGCTGTGAGTTTGAGACCAGCCTGGGCCACATAGTGAGTTCCAGGTCAGTTTCAACTACACAGTGAGACCCTGTCTCAAAATAAATAAATAAATGAATAAATAAAATAAAATAAAATTTAAAAACCAGGCTTCTTTTTCTACCATATGAACCATCTACCAATCTTATTGATTGACTGATTTTAGAGATAGCGTCCCACTATATAGATCTATCTGGGCTTGAACTCACTGTGCAGCCTAGGCTGGCCTCGAACTCACAGGTGGCAGGCCAGGAAGTTAATATCAATGCACCCTACCAGCAGTTTGAGTTTCCAGTGTGCTCACTAGTACTGAATGCTCTTAATAAGAAAATTGCCATTCTGAAAGTAAAAATGTTTTGCTGGTAATTTGAATTTTATTACATGTGAAGTTAGATACTTTTCATAACGTGCCAGTTTGAATTGTTTTGTGAACTGCCTGTATTTATTGGGAGTTCAGTCTTTTTAATAGTTTCTAGGAGCTCATTATTGTCCTCGAAGGCAACACTGTACATCTTGATTTCCACTGCTGTTTATAAGGCCTTTCCTCTGGATGACTGGTAGGGAGTCCATCCTAGAACCTTTTAATGAGAAACACAAAGATTAAAACAGGATAAGATAATATTTAAAACATTACACAGAAATTCTTGGTGCATCACTTGCAGTCAATACATATCTGCTAGGTGAAAGTAATAGTATATATGCCACGAATGTCTTTCTAAGCTTATATCTGGAATTAATATTTAAAAATATTAGTTAGGTGTGGTAGCCTGTAATTCCAGCTACTCATGAGGCTCAAGCAGGAGGAGCTCAAGGCAAATCAGAAAGGGACAAATTATAAGACCCTGTCTCAAAATAAAATTTAAAAAATGGGCTGGTAGAGTGCTTGCCTTGGCATAAGCAAGGCCCTGAATTAAATCCACAGGATAAAAACAAAAACCGACAACAGAGAGTCACATGAACACAGGCACACAATTCTAAACATCTTTATGTACAGTTCACTGGCACTGAATACATTTACGCTGTTCTGCCACCATCACTGGCCTGCATCTCCAGAACATTTTTCATCTTCCTGAACAGAAATTCAGTACACATTAATCACCAGCTATTTTTTCAGTGTAATTTAATATATATTACATGTATTCCATCAAGACATGGAGAGATTACAAATTTTATTTTCTGAAGCTCATTTAAAAAATAATTTTAAAATGATAATGTAAAAGTATAAAAACTGTACTTCCATTATTAGTTTACCTTTGACATTATATTTAGGAGGATCTCCCTACTGGAAAAGTACGGAAGTATTCAAATACTTTTTCTTATAGTTTTTTTAATAGTTTCTTTTTCTTTTATGTTTTACAATTTTCTTTATCTAGAATTCTTTTAAAATGAAATACTAGTTGATGCTTATTGAGACACACAGATAACTTGGGTTATGACCTGAATTTTAGTTTTAACTTACAAAGTCTTGAGTTAGGATCTGAATGCTGGCTGCTTGTGCTTCTAGATGGTCTCAGATACAGATTTAACCCTTAAAGAGTACTGGAAGGAACATCACAACATCCTTTCCTGTGTGGGGTTAATTGAGAAATTCTGAGCCAATGTCTCTCTAAGGACACTGGGAGCTGCTGTATACAGGAGAGAGACTTTGAAGGCTGTGTAGAGGGGCCTGAGCCTTCATTGACCAACTTGAGATACAACCAGCCCTTGAGAACGAATTGAGTTTGTAAGTCAAGGACCCACTGTATCTTTTGAATGACATTAATGAATTGAGAATTATTTTGTGAAAGAATCCCTTTTGAATGTTTGTAATTATATTCATTATAGAAATGAAACTAGAATTTCATTTTCTCATGTATTACTAATTTGTTAAGCCATTTCTTTAGATGTTAATTTTACTGTTACTGATTATACAATTTAATAAAATAATTTATCTTACTAGAAAAGCCCTAATATAAAGAAGTATTGCATTAGTTCTCTTATTTCAGAGTTTCCTGGATATCTGGAGAATTCTTAAATTTCTTGACAAGTCTAAGGAAATTTATAGGCAAGAGTTTACTTATCACTTTTTAGCAGGCTTCATTATTTTATCATATCTGCTTTTCAGTAAAGTATTGTTTTTGTCTTTACCGGAGATGTTACAGTTCACTCTCAGGAGAGACTTTAGTTTAAAAAGTGATGTCAAAGGTAACCTTCATTTGTGAGTGTGCATCAAGGCAGTTGCACAAATATCTGTACTTAGCCTATTGCTAGAAGTCTTCTTTGGGTGTCCCTGGGGTTGTTCCGAGGGATGGCTGCTTTCAGTGCCCTGTTCTCCGCTGGCCACTTCTTGGGCCTTGGCCCAATGGCAGCTGTGAAGTGAGGTGGTCACTCACAGTGCATAGGTGTCTAAGGCCATGTCTGAGGCAGCAAACTCTGGCACTTGCTTCTCTCACAAACAAGGGTGGTAAGTTTGTTAACCGGGAAGCATTCAAGGTGACAAATGGTCTTGAATTCCATGTGTTCACGGGTTCCAGATCACCTTGATGTTGGTGATAGATTGTGTCAGTTTGAGTAAGAAATGCCCACCTAAATTCACTCAGCATAGTTCTGGGTCTGGAAGACCCACCCCTGGGAGGATTGTTGCCAGAGTGGTATAAAAGGGAAACCAGAAAGGCTGCTGCTTCTTTTTCTCAAGAGGAGCTCTAATCTTCACCTTCACTTTGGGCTTTGTACTAACCTTTCCATTGAAGCCCATTTTGCCTCCTGATGCGGACTTGCATGGGACACTACAGTCCTCCCACTGGATCCTCCGGATCTCGGGTGCACAGACAGCCCTTTTGCCCTCTTCAAGGTCTGACTCTGTGGGCGGCCACTGTAAACCAATCCTGTAAATTCTTTTGTTTTGTTTTTGGTACCAGGAATCAAAATTGGGACCTTGTGTTTGCGAGGCAGGTGCTGTAAATTCTTATATATTTGTGTATCTTCTATTTAAATTTGCTTCTATAGTAAGCACGAACTGATACAATGCTACTGAGAAAAATAAAAATAAAAATATAGTACTCTGGCCAGGTGTGCTGGTGCACACCTGTAATCCCAGCACTCTAGAGGCTGAGCCAGGGGGATCTCCAAGAGTTTGAGGCTACCCTGGACTACATAGTGAGTTTAAGATCACTCTGGACTACACAGATAGACCCTGTCTCAAAAACAACAACAACAACAAAAAGTACAGTACTCTGTAGAGAAACAAATGAATTTTCCCCACACAGGATCAGTGGGCTTTATAGGAATTTCTTCACTTTTCTCTTATATTCAAGTCTACATTTTGGAGAATGTTAGAACTTATATCAGTACTTCACCTGTATCATAAAATTCTGCATTTGTATCAGTTTATCTTTGGTACTTGTATGTGGTTCATAGAGAAAGGGTATGGAGACAGGAGCCAGACCACTGAGCTAAATCCCCAGCCCTAAAGGATACTGAAATATTTCTTTTCCTACAAGGCAAAGTTCTATTTCTTTGCTTTTTTTCCACTTTCCCAAATTCCCAAAATTTAGAAAGCACTCTGTAATGCATAAGGAAAATACATATGATTTCCAGATACAGTAACTTCTAGGTGATCATACTTTAGTGACGGTCTTGTGACCTGTGTTTAAAACCAGTGATTAGAAAACAAAAATGTCACATTGATGAAAAGCCAGGCTTCTGCAAAGGGGTGCTAGGATGAACTTGAAATTGCTTCCACCACTCTTGAAAGTGGAAGTTCCCTGCCCCAAATCTGTCAACCTCACCTATATCACTCAGATAAGTTTGAGGCTGTATAGATGAATCCTAAATATTCTCCTGTGGATGCTTTAAGTTTATGAGCTTTCCCTTATGTATCCGGTGCAGACATGATGCTACACAGGCTCCAAAGGGCAGGGATCTAGTCTCTGTCTTGGTCACCTTGATTTTGTAGCTTCTGGAGATTAGTAGGTGTTCATTAAAAATGTGTTGAATAGATAATGGGACAGTATATTACAGATTAGCTAAAGCAACCCTCCCCAAAGAACTATAATTTGTCTAAGGCATTATGTAAATCATGATCATTGAGGAATTAGGAATGGCATTAGGTTAATTTTAGGAACTAGCTCGATCGCTGAACTCACTTATCCCAAGTGGAATTGTTCATTGTGCCCACTGCAACCACCTACACACTTTGCTGCCTGCTCAAGAAGCCAAATATCACTAACAGTCCAGAGAAAGAGGCAAAATGGAAGAAAAGCAAGAAAGATTTACTAAATACATATGGTTTAGTTTTCTAAAAAGGTGTGTTGAATTTTAAAAGAGTTTATATTTTATTGTTGCAACATATTTGCAATTTGCGACAGTCTAGATTTAGTATCTACACTAGACCTATGGACAGAACGAAGCTTTGTCAAATGGAGGTGGCTGTTGCTCAATGAGCCATCAAGTACATTTGCAAAAAAGAGTTGTGTTTGTTTACGAACTCCCTTTTCCCACAGCCAAGAACTGTCATTTTACTAGAAAAGGACTTCAAATTTTAGAAAATATTTTAAGTACAAAAGATCCTGTTCTGAAAAAAACTTGACATGAGCATTTTTCCATTCTCCGGGATCTGGAACTGGGCTTTGTAATTTACAGGACACGATTTGGAAGGTAATACGGCATTTTAGATTAATTATGTCAATAGGGCGAATTTACCCTTTCATTCCTTATAGCGAAGTATTTACCTTAGATGATCACTAACTTCTCATAAATGTTTAGTTTGCTTCCTTGCGTAATGTTGTGTGTAGTAGCCTTAAAGTGCTGTTAATTTGTCAACAAGCATTCAACAAATTACTAGGCAACTCTTGAAAGACAAAAATTAAAATCCTAGATAAAGACGATGAGGCGCATTTCATAGTAGTTACCTAATTTGGCAAAGAGGAATTTTTGTTGCTGCTCCCTTAAAAAAAAGCAAGATGATAATATTCTCAGCTAGATTTTTTTTTTCCTTTAACTTTTTATAACATTTCAAGGCTTTACTACTTGGCAAAGACAATTTGGGACAGATTTCTTTATTTTCTCCTCTGGCCTAAAATGAAAAACCCCCACTTTCCAAACTGTTACCACCAAAGAGTTTATTAAATGGCTGAAAAAGACAGCTGGTCCCACCATCTGTTAAAATTTTTCAGGGGCCAAATAAAACAGGTTACACCTTTAGCCATGCCAAGTCTTGCGATACCCCCTTCCTCTCACTGCCTGGGGAGGGCTAATCTGAATTTCACGCTCTGATTTTGCTATTGCTACTGTCTGAGCTTCTTAAGTGAGCTTCTCCATGTAACCTCTCTTTTTTAGTTACAAAGCTATTCTCACATTTCAACCAGACTCATTTGCAACCTATTACCTTACAAATCTATAGTCTCCGTAGTTACTCCCAGGGACTACAAGGAAATGTGCAGATACCTAACTGATTTCTGACTTTTCAAGCCAAAGGGGACAGCCAAAAGTACCGTGCTGTTGTTTTGCAACCATGTTTTTCTACAAATGCTAATGGAGGTAATTCAGATTTTGGAACAAAGGCTTAGCTCACCACACACTGCAGGTGTGAAAGGGTTGA